CGGACAACAGGAAAGGTCACATCGCGGGCCTTTTGAAGGGCGTCAGACTTGGACGACTTGACGCAAAGTATTTCAAGGAAGAGGTCAGTATGCCCCTGAAGACGTGGATGTTTATTGGAAGTAAAACCCGCATTTTCAATTCCATATTCACACGTGTTCATAACCAATTAATGCAAATCGGGAGCCTTTTTCTTCGTCACGTGTAAGCCCGTCTGTCTGTCTGTCTGCAGATCCAGCTGGAGAACGTCTGAAAGGATGTCCATTAGATTTAATATTGATGAGCTTTAACGGAATCTGTTGACACATTACAATTTTGTTTAAAATCTTGCAATAACAACGTGTAAAACTACACAGTGATTTGAATGCCTTATTCCGCGCAAAATTTTCCCAGATTAACTTAGTTGCCATGGTTACAGTAACTACCTGTGGAATGCCACTGGTAACACGCTCGTATGTGTGTGTATGTGCAAAACAAATATCCGATTCGTCCATTTGTGCAGAAATGTGTTTGGAGTTAATAATCGTCTTTCATTCATCGTCTGTAAGTTTGACTGTCCGTCTGAGCTACAATCTTTGATTACAGTCTCAGCGTTTATTGAAGATCCATTACGCGTTTCAGTTCAACTACAGCATTCAGCCGTCAACTACATTCAAACGTCCACTCAGCTTTAATACGAAAATCCTCCGACTTATAAATCACGTCTTCTGACGCAGCGATCTACATAACCAAAGATCCTACGCCATAAGAAGAGTATCTCATCTGCTATAACAATTTCACGCATCTCAGACGATGAACACTTAGCATGATAATCTGTAGCTGATTGATCACGTAGGGACAAGAGATATCCGAAAAGTTCAGCAAGAGGAAATTACCCGAGGGGCTTCAAACTCATTGACAGCTCTAACATTCTAATATTTTACTCTAAGTCAAATGCCCTGTGAATTCAGCCACTAACCTCTTACGAAAACGTGAGAACATCGCACGGATTCATGAAAATATTATCAGCGTCAAATGTCCATACAACTTATCATTCGTATCTACTAGTTTCGAACACTTAAAGAGAACCACCTGATGAAGACCAATTAAGTTCGAAACATGCAATGGCTGTTAATAGACATCGAACCGATGATCCAACGCTGTTGTGGTGACGTACCTTCCACCCAACCATCAACATGCAGAAGGTTGCCTCAATGACACTCGAAACAACTAATTGTCATAATTTTCTTACGTAATTTCGACTATTGATTAAAGTTATCGAATCAAAAACAATGTGCATCTCGCACAGGAGAGTCGAGAAATAGATTGCAATTTCTGAATATAACTCAAAACACAACCCTTACTGAAGTATTTAACTTTCGGTTGAAACACATTTCAATATTTTTCTCTAAGATCGATTTAATCTTGATTTCGCTTCACTCCACAACCTGTGCATTTTTTAAATGTGTCGTTATATAAACGAAAAAACACATTTTCCTTTATATACCATAATCTATTTCGGTGAGTTCCCAACCAAATTATGTGTGAATTTCTTGTCTCCTCTGCAATGGAACATTCCATCCCTTCCTAAAAGTTCATAAGATCCACATTGAACTGTTCGACAGGTGTCAAAGCACCCTTACGTAACTGAAAACGAGGCGTGCAGACCCGTGATCTTGGAGACGCTCAAATTCCTGGACGACGTGGAAAGGTTGACGAAGGAAGACAAGGAATTCGTGACACCAAGGATTGCCTACCCGCGAATCCCACAGGACATTCTTTTTGCTATTGGCGGGTATCGCGACGGAAGGCTTTCAGATGTGATCGAAGCGTACGACGTACGAGCAGACCGGTGGACTGTGGTGAGTTGCAAGCATTTCTACTCTTACCGCGGCTTGTTAAATGACGCCTCCGAGAAAAACTACTTTTCCTCTTTGTTGCTAAACTTAATTACAAGGACATCTTAGCCTCTTTATTTCGTGTTTGTTAATTTCCATTGCAGTGAACACTTTTTTTAAGAAAAACTCCAAAGACATGAATTAAAAAGAATAAATAAATTACTCAAATTCTGAGTCTCGTGTAAAACGCAAGTTCTAATAGGAATCGACGACGGATCTGAAGTTTTCCTTAAATACCGTTTACAATAAGCGTCCTACTTCAACTGTCATGGCGACCTGTCTGCTGATTTTAGACATCGTTGATCGTCAGTGGATTTCAACGTAATAAATGAGTGTCGATGTCGGCCATCTGCGAGGTCACGCCTCGTGGATTAGAAGTCTTTGGGGTGGGGTGGGGGACGTACTGCCTTCATCTCTGCGTCGATAAAACCCAAAACACCAACATCTGTCTTTGCCATCTTATGAACCTGAAATGTCAGCTGTTGATAAGAAATTCTACATTTGTCTGTCGAACTATACGAGAATGTTTGAGATTCTCTTCGGGTTTTCCTGTTTCCTCCGCCTCTCATAATTCCACCTTCGCTCAAAGTTAATTTCTCGTGGTCTGTGTCGAGTGCCTCCCTCCACGGTGTAGCAATTTCGGTCCACTGTTGGGGGTTGCACCTCTGCTCCGGTGTTTGGTTGCTTGGACTCTAATGTAAGGACTTGACATCAGTAGACCGAATGACCCAAAGAGATATAAAACCATGACCTGTCGTTCCTGCAGGTGGAAGGGGTCGACTCGATCGGTCCTCGAATGAACCATCGCACGGCAGTGGTCGGTTTCGACATTTACGTCATCGGTGGTCACGACGGCGATGAAGTCTCTAACTCATGTTTCTGCTTCAACGCTGTTACGAAGAAATGCCGCGAGATATCGCCTATGCATGTCCGAAGGTAAGTTGCAGATCGGTAACTGAGGAAGTCCTTGGAACAAAGTTCTTCCTAAAAAGGTGATAGTCACTGTCTTAGTCAAGATATAAATGCGGGCAGGGGATGTACAATTGAACCACTCACATACAGGAGCACTTTGCAAAGTATGAATAGGTCGGAGGACTTTTGCGACAAAGTTGGTTTTAAGAATGCGATTTGCGTGTTAATTCAATTTAATTGTTGATTTAACAATGACGAGCGAGCAATTGCGTTCTGCGAGAGGAAATGCATCTCTGAATCAGCAGTAAATGAGCGTAGCAGAGAGTATACTTTTTTTTCGTTACAGATGCTGTTTAAGTGTGGCTGTTCTGCGAGGTTCAGTGTACGCCATGGGCGGTGAAGGTAATTATGAGACTCACAGAACGGCGGAAAGATACGACTGCAAGGCGAACCAGTGGTCGTGGATCGCTCCGATGAAGATAGGGCGAGAAAATGCAAGTTCGGCTGTGCTGAATGGTACGTAAATGCTGTGAAACAGAAATTTGTGAGTTAGTGTCTGTCTGTCCGGGTGTAAGAACGCGAGAACGGTTGAAGGAATCTCAATATTTGAGGTTCTGACGGCGGCGAGTACGAAGATGGCTGTCGTTTGGCTTCTGCCGACGTTTCGGACGAACATTATGCCATCATCATCAGGGAATTTCTCTTCGCTCTTGATCTTAGTTTCCCTCACTCCACTGTCCACATTCTTTTATCCGTGCTACGTACTTCGTTATTTCACAGATCTGTCTGTCCGGGTGTAAGAACGCGAGAACGGTTGAAGGAATCTCAATATTTGAGGTTCTGACGGCGGCGAGTACGAAGATGGCTGTCGTTTGGCTTCTGCCGACGTTTCGGACGAACATTATGCCATCATCATCAGGGAATTTCTCTTCGCTCTTGATCTTAGTTTCCCTCACTCCACTGTCCACATTCTTTTATCCGTGCTACGTACTTCGTTATTTCACAGATTGCAATGGCTTGAAGTCTTGAGTTGCGTGATGGTTTCTTCTGCTCTCGTAAGCTGTCCCAGTCCATCGTCTTCTGCTTTGTAGTTTAAACTAGGAGTGAAAGCAAACAACCATCAAACTGACTCTCAAATAATACAGAAGTAATATTTTTTGAGACAGTTAATAATCTCACGTAAATAGCACATAATATTATAAATGTAGAGCAAATTTTGGCAGCTCGTACCGTACATCCCTGACACCAAATTTAATAAAATTCGTTTCACAGAAGATGTATTAATAACTTACCATCAATTCCATTATGCATTAATTTAAGCATTTTATGTTGTTTATGTTAAATTTTATCAATTAAACTAATTTCCTCTGACACGCCGATTGTCTGCTTTCGAAACAAAGAAACAGATGAACAGAGACGGCCGTGTCCGTCCAGTTTCTGTGACACGAAGGGCGGACTTAATAGATTTACAAATTTAAGTAGGGATTGTCCCATGTCTGTGCTCTGCATTGACCAGTTTAATTATAGCTAATTTGTTTTTGCAGGCAAAATATACGTCGCTGGTGGAAGAGATGGTCAGAATTCTCTAAACTCGGTGGAAGTTTATGACCCGGACACCAACAGATGGACGTTCGTTGCACCGATGCTCTCTCGACATGACTCTTTATCTTGTGTCGAGTTCCACGGCTCCCTGTACGCCCTGGGTGAGAACTCTGGACATTCTGAGTGATGCTCCTCTATCCTTCTTACAGAATTTGCTGTTATGAAATGTTTTCCAAGTTTTCTTTGAGTGACTGAGATTTTATGAACAGAATTTTTCTCCTGTCAATACAGAGTTACTTTGTCGGTAATTTTAACCTCGATTCGTGGTATCGATTATATTCTCGAAAAAGAACACGTAACTAACTAACTAACATCGCACAATCTCTTGTGGTATCTCAAGTAACGTATGCCCCAGTTTTACAGTTAAATATTTTGTTCTTGTAGCAAGAGAATATTAGTTTTTATCCTCCAAAAGCCGACGGTTTAAAGCAGTCCCTTCGCAGGCTTTGATATTCGTCACTTGTTCGTTGAACGCCATCTTGTGTTGTTGTTGAACTCCATTTTCGCACTCAGGTTCATGAAGTAGACAACAGATGTCAGGCGCAATTTCCTGATGTTACAAGTACGAAAATAAAATTGTGGCTGTTCCTGGTACTAATAATGACAATGCAAGAGGGAATGAGTTTTCTTTGTTGTATTTAATTCATTCGTTCCGTTTACGGAATTACAAATTTTAAGAGCGTAAATCCGTTTGTAAGACGGTCGGATTGTGAAGCATCGAAGTTACAGGAAATACTTCTAGAAAGTTATAATTGGTAATGTTGAAGATAAGATACCACTTGTGATACATTGGCGTAAAAGGAAGGATAATATTAAAATGTTTTTAAGGATTTAGAATATGTGAAATTAGGTCAACTACAGACTTTTGTGAATAAGGTAATGAATCTTGTGACTCTATAAAGTTCAAATAGTTCGTGACCAGGTGACATTAATAAATATTAAATTATTTGGTTTTTCCGTCTAATCACAATTGTATTTAAAAATAAGATAATTAAAATATCATTTTATGTTCCAGATCGAATAATCGATTTACATTTTGGAACATTTTTACATGTTTCGGTTTCATCGAACCATCTTCAGGTGTAAAATTATATCAACAAGCTTAAAACTCAATTACAATTTCTGTTGTGTAGTTTTTTTGTAGATGTTCATATCCAGATTATTTTCATAAATTGGAGCGAATGTATTGTTTTGAAGTGAATGCATTCATTCGTTCCGTTTACGGAATTACAAATTTTAAGAGCGTAAATCCGTTTGTAAGACGGTCGGATTGTGAAGCATCGAAGTTACAGGAAATACTTCTAGAAAGTTATAATTGGTAATGTTGAAGATAAGATACCACTTGTGATACATTGGCGTAAAAGGAAGGATAATATTAAAATGTTTTTAAGGATTTAGAATATGTGAAATTAGGTCAACTACAGACTTTTGTGAATAAGGTAATGAATCTTGTGACTCTATAAAGTTCAAATAGTTCGTGACCAGGTGACATTAATAAATATTAAATTATTTGGTTTTTCCGTCTAATCACAATTGTATTTAAAAATAAGATAATTAAAATATCATTTTATGTTCCAGATCGAATAATCGATTTACATTTTGGAACATTTTTACAACATGTTTCGGTTTCATCGAACCATCTTCAGGTGTAAAATTATATTAATAAGCTTAAAACTTAATTACAATTTCTGTTGTGTAGTTTTTTTGTAAATGTTCATATCCAGATTATTTTCATATATTGGAGCGAATGTATTGTTTACAGGCCGATGTAGAACATCAGATGCATTCACTTCAAAACAATACATTCGCTCCAATATATTAAAATAATCTGGATATGAACATCTACAAAAAAAAACTACACAATAGAAATTGTAATTGAGTTTTAAGCTTGTTGATATAATTTTACACCTGAAGATGGTTCGATGAAACCGAAACATGTAAAAATGTTCCAAAATGTAAATCGATTATTCGATCTGGAACATAAAATGATATTTTAATTATCTTATTTTTAAATACAATTGTGATTAGACGGAAAAATCAAATAATTTAATATTTAATTCACAATATGACGCAATTATATTATCTTAAGAGTAATAAATATGAAGAAGGGTCCCGCTTAATGGGGTTAGAATAAGTTCCTTTTCGCAGCTTTTCTTTATATCCTGTGACCTGTTATTGTGCGTGTGTGTGCAGGAGGACATAACGGGACATCTTACAAGCTCAGTACCGAGAAGTATGACCCTAAGGAAGGCGCGTGGACCGAGATCCCTGCCATGAACTTGTATGAATTTGAATTAAACGCAGAAGTCATCGACGATAAGATCTTCGTCATCTGTGATTATTATGACCCGAAGTATTTCTTCCACCGTGTCGCATCTTTCAATGACAAGGAAAATCGATGGTTTGTTTCTTTTTATGATTGTTCAGGGCTGTATAATCACAGACTGTTACTTTCGAAAAGCACTAGGAAGTGAATCATTTCCGGTCAAGGTATCCGCGATCTTGTGGGTGCTGCGCCTTGTAGTGTCTAAGAAAGTGACCGACGTTTCGGAGGTTCTTACTGCTTACTCAGGGCCTTGAATACAACAAGCAAAAAATAGGCGAGTGGAGGGGGTAGAATGAAAGAAGGCAGGGCGATGTTACGGTCAAGCTGATTGGTTAAATCAGAGAGCGAATGACTAGGAAATATAATTTATAAGAATCTCTTTGACTAAGTTTCCTTGATCAGTGGCACTCTCTCGGGCAGGAAGTTTCTGGCGTTCAGCAAATAGCATCGCCATAATCTTCCGCTTTCGTCAAAGTTTTAGGCCAGTTTCAGGTTTAACGACGCCTACGGTCTTATGTTCCCATTTCTGATGGAAGTTTATTTTAAAATGGCTGTCTCTTGGCGTGTTTGACCACGCAGTCTCCTGAAATCTGTTGACGGATTGAGTAAGGAGCTCCAAAAACATCCCAGAAGACAAATTTCTTCATACTTGTCTGTGCAAGAGTCAGAAATCACACAGAAATTCATTTAATTTTGATTTTTGTCTGTCTTACGTCTAGCAGAACCTCTCCGGAACTATTTTTGGTGGGAGAATTTTTTTTTTTTTTTTTTTTT